GCGTGCGTCAGATCGCTCACTCATCCACCCACGCGAACATGTTTATTCAAACTGCCTATTGCATTAAACATAATCGCCAGACATAACCGTGATGTTTAACCTCTAATCCAGACAAGCATGTTGATGCACAGCCCATTTGTATTAATCTACTGCTTGATAAAGGCCCCCCTATGTCTTGTAGGTCATTTTGGGTCAAATGACCATACTTAAATCATTTGTTATAACCCGAGAATGACGTCGTAGGTCACGTGATGTCAGAGGTACCGCCCATGTGGCTGTGACATCACAGATAGGAGACGTCTATGGCAGCAGCTCGGGTCTGAACTAAAAGGTAGACTCCTCCCCCGTGTTGGATAACATTCAATACATGTAATGCAGGGCACAATTATGCAGGCAATCAGAACACAATAATTTTAGACATGTTAATCATATTATATGAGATTTAAACAGGTTAGTTATGAACGTTTTAAATGTTAACTTGCTTTGGGTCTAAACAATGACAGTAACAGCAACATATCAGAGCATGCCAAGTAACCTAACTAATAGTCTTAATTTGGTTGCAGAAAATCCAAATGTCAACATTTTCAAAAATAATGAAGCTTTAGTTTGTAGTCAAAACGTGCAATAAAAATAAACAACACACATCGTCAACAGGGACGCTCACCTCGTTGAGGATGCGCTCTGCAAAGGCTTCTTCTGCTGCTGCTCACTCGTGCGCATTCCTCTCGACTGCGGGTGGAGGCGTGGCTATGACGTAACAGAGGTGACGTCACTACAGCGAGGCTCCGCCCCCACGCGCTTGGCGGGCGCACCACGTGGTGCAGTGCGGGTGGTGTGCGTCACTGGAAACAGCAGAGCCCTCTGTTCGACATTAAACATTTGCCCCCTCGCTTTGTGCTGTCTTTGATGTCGCCGTTACTGCGGCGAGGACTGAAGCGATGCCTGGCCATCAGGCCTGGCATATACCTAGGCCTCAGGCTTCATACTGTTTCGTAGTTATTTTTTGTTTAATAGGAATTATTAACTTGCATTTCATTAATTACATTTCAAGCGTATAAACACCATCCCATTGGTTTATTTACTTTTAAATTCAGGTTTTTTATTAAGAGTTTTTGGTCTGTAGTTATATTTAAGTGAGTGAGGTGGTTGTACTAAGTGTGAATTTGAGTTCCATGTAAATTATTATTGTGTAAAGGATTTGTCTGTGTGCACCTATCCTGGCAGTGGTAATATGGGCTTTTTATGATTAAGTTGTTAATGAGATTGTTTATTTGTGTGTGTCTGTTATCTATGTCTGTGTCAGGTTACATATCTATGTTTGTAGCTGTGTGTATTTGTTAATTTATGATGGGTGGTGATGATGCTGTTTCTTGATAATGGATGGTGGTGATGATGATGGGTGGTGATTATGAAGGGTGGTAATGATGATGGTTGGTGATGATAATGTGTAGTGATTATGATGGGTGGTAGTAATGATCATGGGTGGTGGTAATGATTGGTGAGGTTATGATGATGGGTGGTGATGATGATGGGTTGTTGTGATTATGGGTGTTGATGATGATGGATGATTGGTGGTGGTTATGATGAATGTTGGTTGTGATGGTTTGGTGGTGGTGGTGGTGACGATGGTTGGTGATGGTGAGTTGATAGTGATAATGATGATTGGTGATGATAATGGGTGTTGATGCTGATGATTATGGGTGGTGATGAGTAAATGAGCCACCACCCAATACATAACAGCAACAGAAGTAACTACAGCAGAAACAATAACAGCAGCAGCAACAACACATTTTGAGGGTGACGCAACTACTTCTGATTCTGCTGTTTCTGCTGCTCGACTATTTGTAGCCAGGCCCTGCTCTCGCGGGACCCCACAAATCTTTGGAAATGATTGCGATGATCATGTCTGAGCTGAGAATTAAGTGACTAAACGTTACTTTGTTTAACCATGACTGTGTGTAGGTTAGTATCTGGGGGCTCAGCGAATACTATTCATGAAAGAACTCGCACTCCTTTATGACCGACATTGTACTAATTTTGGTTGATCGAGACGAACAAGGCACGTGCAGACGAACTTTTATTTCCAATATTGTCCTTAAATTTGATGCTAAAATAAACGTTAACACTGGATTAAACATGCACCTCTTAACCTCTGCCTCGCATTTACGACTAACAATTTGCATTTACAATTAACATACAGTCAAGCACAGTAAAATGCGAATACGACAATATTGTTATTCTAGGAATTTGAATTCGATTCTAACCCTGCACCCCACCCCAGTTTGCATATCCAACCCCCGGTTCGATGGAACGTTCGCTTTACATACATATGAGCAGAGTGCGATTATAATACTTCTAATGAGATTTGAATACCGTACCTCCGTTTATGGTGTAATGAATTAGAAAACCAGTTTATAGTCATTTAATGTTGAGTGATATCGTTTATAATGATACAGCTGAAGTCATAGAGGTGAAACGGCTGCAGTGTGTATGAATACAGATAGGGCGTCGCCGTTGGTTCGTCCACCCATCCCGCCTCAAGACTTATGTCCGTCCCCACCCAGACGGCTCATCCCCATGTCCTGTACAGCCCAAGTCTGGTGTGTCCGACGTGGTGGGGCGCTCGGCAAGGGAAACCGTACTCCAAAGGAAATGTGTTCTGCCGCCCACAGTTTCTGAGCCCCTGATGCCCGGGGTGCCTCACGGATCCGCCACGTTCGAGGTACCGGTGCCTGGAGCCTGGTCATATTCTTCAAAAGAAGTCAGGGACCTGCCTAATCCTTCAAGGCTGTGGTGCGAGCCCTTGACGCCCCGAAATGCACAAGATTTCACCATGGGCGCGGGACGGGCGTCGAGAACCAGGTCAAAATGCGCAAGGTTGTGCTTGTAGGCTCCACGCCCAATATCAATACTGTATATTATTAATTCTGACCTTACTCCCTCCCTTTGATGCTGCTAATCCTGCATAATGCACGGGCATAATGACTTTAAACCCCTCGCCAAACCTCCTACGCATTTCACAAGTAGTGCTAATCGCATATCTGCATTTCCCATAAATATGCTAAAATCATCTTGATATGCAAATTATTTTGTCAAGACGCTCTTCGCTCCTCCATCGCAGCATAAAGAGTCGCTCCAAGCCTGGAGCGTGACATACAGACTCCGTCTACTTGACGGACCTGTTCTCCACCTGAGGACGGCTGCTTGCGTTGTGGCCGAAACGTCGTGAGAATTATTTTATTATGTTTTATTTTTATTATTTTATTACTTCCCTTCTACGTGACTTTACCGAAAGAACCAAGAAGATGTATATTGCTATTCGGTTCCATTGAGATGGAACATTCTACCAGCAGTGGGCAGCTTGATTCTAATACGACCGTGGTGCGATTTTAATAATTTTGATGCGATTCTAAATCTGGCACCACCCAGGCCGAATTTACGACTCCCGATGTACATCTACATTTAACATACATTCTAGCTCAGTGTAATTCTAATACGACCATAGTGTTATTCTAATCATTTTAATCCGATCATAATCCTGCACCCCCCCGTTCGCATATCCGACCACCGGTTCGCATGTCCAAAGGCCATAGATGCATATTACATACGTACATACGAGCACAGTTCGCTTGCACGTACACTATTATACACGAAATTCTCAGTTTTTTTTTTTTTAATGAACGTATGTTTTTCAAATCATATGAAATGCAATTATGTTATAATATGTGATTGTTATACACTTTATCTGTTTACATAGCGTATATAGCTATTCGATTAAATTAACATGACATTAATCCAACAGTGGACAGTTTAATTCTAATACGACTACAGTGGGATTTTAATCATTGTAATGAGGTTCAAATCTTGCATATCCTACCCCCGGTTCGCATTCACTTAACATTTATTTTGTTAAAAACTAATAATACCGTACCTCTGTTTTTGGTGTTATAAATGATGAAACTAGTTAATAGATTATTTATTTTAACTATTTTTGTTATCGTTGATAGTGTTACAGTTCACATGTCATACTTGATGATTAGGGACCGTAACGTTACGAATACATTTATAATGGGAACCTTTCCCCTCCAGGGACACATGTTAGTGGAGAGACAGCCAAGATGCTGCCGGTTAAGGGCAGATTTGTGTGACGAAGATCCTCCACCTAAAACTCGCTTAAAACACGTTTTTGCTATAAACATTATAAAATAAATAAACGGACACACATTTGTTAAAATACGTTTTTATTCATCTGCAATAACTTTTACGTCAAAACTCGAATGGAATATTTATTATGTCATATGTTCAAACAGTTACAGTACAATGCAAACCATATCCGTTCCAGGAATACCAAAGCGTTAAAGTATCATTACCCATGATGCCCTTATTAGTTCACCACGTTTGTTCACTGCTCGTCTATGTTGAAGTCAAGGCCATATATCCAACGAACGCGTCATCAATGTACATCCTGAAATCTAAAGTCGATTAATAAAAAGAGCTATATACTTGAAAACTAAAACGTTTAAAATGTTGAGTAAAGATGTACCTACAGACGCTTTCCAAATTTAGCTCAACAGGAACACTTAAGGACTACAATTGAACCCTCTCACAACCAGTGCTCATCACACCACTTCGGCAAGTAATCCGATAACATTACAAACCACAACTGGGCACGCCATTAAACTCACACAAAAACTGTAAAACAAAAATGGTCCAAATTATACACAAAAGTACACGATACGGCTTAATAGATATAACCACATGACGTAATATTTTGTCAGTCACCCCGAGCTCTCTGGTTGACTCTCGAGCCACTCCATTACATCCAGCCATCTCTCGGGATCCAACTGCATGGGATCGAAGGTGGAAACTTCTTCAGGACTCATTGCAGCACCTTGAATTTCAGCTTTTGATTTTAGTTTCCTATCATTGTGGACCTTCTGATGCCTGTTCATGGTTGATGACCGTGCAAATGCCTCCCCACAAACAGAGCACGGGAATGGCTTCTCGCCCGTGTGTGTTCTCTGGTGACTCTGAAGATGTGATGAGTTTGTAAATGTATTCCCACACACAGGGCACAGGAATGGCTTCTCGCCCGTGTGTGTTCTCTGATGAGTTTGAAGAGTTGACGACTGTGCAAATGTCTTCCCACACACAGAGCAAAGGAATGGCTTCTCGCCCGTGTGTGTTCTCTGATGAGTTTGAAGAGTTGATGCCTGTGCAAATATCTTCCCACATACAGGGCACAGGAATGGCTTCTCGCCCGTGTGTGTTTTCTGGTGACTCTGAAGAGTTGATGACCGTGCAAATGCCTTCCCACACACAGAGCACGGGAATTGCTTCTCGCCAGTGTGTGTTCTCTGGTGTCTCTGAAGATGTGATGGCCATGAAAATGTCTTCCCACACACAGAGCAATTGAATGGCTTCTTGCCTCCGTGTGCGTGGGGCTGTGGAGAGCGTCTCTGCTCCATGTGAGCGTAGTAACAGCAGCGGTGTTATCGAGTCAAAAGTACGCTATCGGCAAGGATGTTTAGCGTTGAGTTTTGGATTTTGTTAAGTGCTGAAACAAGAACGAGTTTATCCGCGAAAATAGACACTTACTTGGAGATTCACGGTATATCGATGTCTGGAACCCGTCTGAAGATGTCGCCACGAACTCTCCCGACGCAAAGTCGCCTAACTGTCGACACAGCAATTGTGCTTGCCAGGCTGCGTTGTCTCGCGGTTGAAGGGCGATCAGCAGAGCGACGAGTCGAGCGTCCAACCTCATCAAGTTCCCTCTCGAAATGGCATTGAGCTCTGCTCCTGAGCCGCCTTATAACTCCCCCCCTAGGATCCAATCCTTTGTCTTTCAGGATATTTGCATTCGATTGTTAATTTTGGAAGGTACAATCCGCATGTCTATTAACATACCGAAGAGTATTGTGCCCATTGTGCTTCATGCATGAATATGTAAGTGCATCTCAGTGTGTAATTGTGCCCTTATTTTGAATAAATGGAAAAACTTTGTCCTCGATTTAAAGTGAATGCAGAGAAATTAGCATGTAACTTTATAAAAGAAAGAGAGCTGCCTTCTCGACGAGGGAGTGAAACCCAATAGGTAATATTCTTTTACAGCGTTACAATGGATAGGTTGTAGTTCATAGGTTATAATATTATGTTTCACTATGATAGAGCTTAACATGTGAGAGTATACAATATCAGAGTTGATAAAATGCGACGATCAAGGGCGTCAATCGGGTGAGTTTGAACAGAGGCTTTAATCAAAGGCGTCATCCCATCACAAAACACCACCTCCCTGCGTTTATTACAGCAACAGAAGCAACTACAGCAGCAACAACAGCAGCAACATCACATTTCGAGGGCAACGCAGCTACTTCCGATTCTGCTGCCCAGCTGTTTGTAGTCGGGACCTGCTCTCGCAGGACCCCACACGTCTTTGGAAATGATTGCGATGATCATGTCTGAGCTCAGAATTAAGTCACTCAAGATTACTTTTTTAACCATAACTTTAGGTATGTTAGTGTCATCGGGGCTCTGTGAATACTACTCATGAATGAAATCACACTCCTGTATGACCGACATTGTACTAATTTTGGTTGATCGAGTAGAACAAGGCACATAACATGTCCAGACGAATTCTTATCAACAACAGTGTCCTTAAATATGATGCTAAAATAAATGTTAACACTGGATTAAACGTGCACCTCTTAACCCCTCCCTCGCATTTACGACTAACAATTTGCATTTGCACATAACATACATTCAAGTACGGTAATTTGCTAAAACGACCAAATTGTCATTCTAAAATTTGAATGCCATTCTTACCCTCGACCCCCACAGTTCACATATCCGACCGTCGGTTCGAGTGAACGGACAATTAACAAACATGTGTAGAGTTCCATTATAATACTTCAAATGAAATTAAAATACCGTACCTCCGTTTATGGTGGTATAAATTATAAAACCAGTTGGTAGCTTTTTTGTCGTTTAATGTTTAGTGTTATTGTTTATAGTGTTATCAATTTACGTGTTTTAAGTACAGGTGATTCCCGGTATACTTCGGTATTCTGGACCTGAACGTTGCACCGTCTCTCTGGGGACCCGTGTGGTGTGTGTAGCGAGTATCACGGGGTGGGCGGGTAGTGTGGTGATAGTGGTCACGGTTGGCACCGATGCACGACCACCGCCACCACCCCTACTGGGCGGTGGATCTGCCACCACAAAGCAGCACGCGGCGGAGGAGTGAGGCGATCGCTCTCGCCACGCGAGCGAGGCCCCCTCGCTTCCTCTTCTTTTCGTGCATCTCCACCTGCACCTCTTCCGTTTTCACCTCCGTCTCATCCTCCTCCATCCCCTCTTTTTCATCCTCCACCACCATCTTCTCCTCTACCTCCTCCTCTTCCTGCGCCACCTCCATCTTGTCCATCTTCTTCTCCTCCGCTAGCACCATCTCTTCCTCCTTCATCTCCTCCTCACCTTCCGGCACCACCATCTCCACCACCGTCTTCTCTTCCTCCTCCACCACCATTGTTTCCCCTTTGTCCGTCGTCTCCGTGTCCTCCACCACGACCATCTGTTCATCCTTTGTTGTCTCCTTGTCCTCCATCTCCGTATTGTCTTTCTCCTCTCCCTCCGTGTTCTCCTCCATTGTCACCATCACAATCTCGTCCTCCTTTGCCTTCTCTTCCTCCGATTTCTCCTCCTCTGTCTCTACCTCATCCTCCATCATCTCCTCCTTACCTCTTCCTTCGTCTTCCTTCTCCACAACGTCTGTCTTCAGCTTCAAAGGCCTGGACGAGTGAGGAGGAGGGCTGAGCTGGCTCAGATCTGTGAAGAGACAACACGACACCGTTCTAGATTTGAAGCTTTCGTGACTGCAATGATTCATATTCTTAGGTTTTTTCGGTAAAGTCACGTAGGTAAAAAAACATTAAAAAGTAAAATAAAATAACATAAAAAATAAAAATCACGACGTTTCGGAGGCAACACAAGCTTCCGTCTTCAGGTGGAACCGTCACAGCCACGACAGCTGTATCAGGTAAATGAGAGATTGCAGAAGCTACCACTTCGTTTATATATGGTTGGAGAAGGTGGTGGGGCAAGGGCCGCATACTTTTATTAATATGGTAAGGTGAGGCTTAAGACTAAGAATAGACTGCATATCAAAGGCTGAGCCTTTGTTATGGAGAGGTGCGGTTTGTGACTCAACCTGTAACAGGGAGACCACCACTAGACATGGTAAAACTGATGGTTGTCTGTCAAACACGACACCGTTCCACCTTGCTGCTACGGCAGACATCGCCATCTCCCCATCGTCCGTGGGTGGAATGTGTGGCGGATTAATTCGAGCTGAATAGAAACAGCAATAACGACATGGCCAGTGAGTGTGCTTAGTATTGGTGCTGTCATTCTCATGGCGCCAGGCTATCCTTGAGATAGGTGCAGCTGTGTCTCACACAGACTGCTGTAGTTTCACAGTAGTGGGTGGCGTTGCTGTGCAAATTTAGCTGAATAATTTGAAGTGACATTTTTTTGGTTCTTTCGGTAAAGTCATGTAGGTATAAAATAAAATAAATTAAATCACAACGTTTCGATTGTAACACAAGCAATCATCATCAGGTGGGAAAACCACAGCAAGAAACGTTCTTGCAATAACGACATGGCCATCGAAACGTCGTGATTTAATTTAATTTATTTTATTTCATACCTACGTGAATTTACCGATATAACCAAAGAATATGGATCCCTGTAGTCACTAAAACTTCAAATCTAGATTGAACATATTCTATATGTATATTCTAATTGACCCCTTGCACATAATGTCCTACGCATTTCAAATGGCATCGATAGAGATCCTGAACGTCCACTGTGATGGAATGGGTGTGGATCTGTGTGGTCAATGCAGCAGCAATAATAGCCAAGGCGGGAAGCAAGATCTGAACTGTAATGGTGAAGAATGAGTGCACGAAAATTTGGTCGCTTCAACACATCCACGATTTAAAAAAAGTGTCCGTCAGTGATTTGTGGTCGAGAGAGCCACCTCCCTTGACGTCGAAGGCATCTCAAAGTGCATTGCATGCGATTAGCCTCTCGCATCTCTCATCTCATCGCGTTTTAAATTGGACACCCCTCTCAGTGGTAGCTGTCGCTGTGCATTACAAGGCGACTTGGCAGCTGGCCTGGAAACCGGCGATAGACAGCGAAAATCTCACGGTGGATGGAGGGTTACATGGTGAAGATATGCCCACTTCGTTATGTGGTCTAACTCAGAAACCAGTTACGAAAAATAAATCTGTCCTCAGTATAGCGGAATGTACACGTGGGGTTTGCAGTGTCTGTGAATTTTGAGAGCGCGACAGGGCTTGAGCACCTGTGCATCACAGCAACATTGACCTGGGTTTGATTTTCACGTTTGGCCACATTCTCCGTGTGGATTATGCAGCCCCATGTTCTGGGAAGGTTCTGCAGCTTTCTCCCTGTTACTGAACCCACACAAGCAATGCAAATCGTTCAATTTGGATCGCAAACAGTAGCGACTTTCTTGCAAAATGCGAGCAAACTTGGCAGGATCCTCCTGAAAAAAGTCTTGAGACCGAGTAAGGCTGATGCTGCGTGAGAAGCATGGCAATAATAAGCAAAAATAAACACACAGGGCGCACACGCAGAGTGGTTTACCGTGGCTCAGCGACTCCGGAGTTTGCTTTATCTTCTTGGAAGCCCTCTTCTTCTAAAGCTCGGAGCTATTGGGCCCCACACAGGATTGGAGGACGTGGTGGCGGTGGCGTAGTGGCGGCGGTGGTGGAGGTGGTGTCAGTGGTAGTGGTGCTGCTGCTGGTGGTAGCGGTCTGGAGCCATTGTCGCTCGATCTTGGCGAGGCGCTGCTCTTCCTCGAGGCGCTTTTGCTCCACAAGACGCTTCTCCTCCATCAAGTGCTCCTCCTCCTCTTGACGCTTCACCTCAACGAGGCGCTTCTCCTGAATGAGACGTTTCTCCTCGAGGAGCTTCACCTTGCGAAAGCGCCTCTCCTCAAGTCGCTTATTTTTTTTCTCAAGACGCTTCAGCTCTATGAGACGCTTCACCTCAAAGAGGCGATTCTCCTCCATGAGGTGCTTCTCTTCCTCGACCCGCTGCACCTCAATGAGGCGCTGGTCCTCGACAAGGCGCTTCTCTTCTTCCACCCGCTTCTCCTCCATGAGGCGCTTCTCTTCCTTGACCCGCTTCACATCTATGAGGCGCTTCTCTTCCTCCAGATGCTTCTCCTTGAGACGCTTCACCTCGCG